GAGCTGATCCAATTGGACTCGCTGCAATTTCGACAGTTCCCTTGATGGGCCTAGCTCTACCCGGGCACCATGGGCCTCTCCCTTGCGCCCCATACTACATTACATATAAAAGGAGCGCCTCTTCCCATTACCACTCACCAATTGTAGATTGGCCCATCCAAGGAGACTCAAACACAAAAGGACCTGCAGTGCTGCTCTGCCTCAAAGGACACAACATGCAATACAATCCCCTACAAAATATAAAGTCAAAATGCCCTTCTCACGTCTGCAAGAAAGGAAAAAAACAACTCACCAGTCGACTACGCCACCCGGAATACACCGGGACATAACAGCCCTAACAGCCCTAACACAGGTTCGTTGCCAAAGGCAGGGTGAGCATAATAATAATAAACAAGTCACTTTATTTACTTTATTTAGATAAAAACACATACAACACTTCACACCAGGTCTCAATACATCACACGTCTTTACCAGTAACTTATAAAACAAGTACAATACAATAAGAGAAAATAAAGGGGGAGGTGGCCAGCAAAGACCCTCAGATTTCTACCCCACACTCAATACCCATGACACACACTCGTGAAAAATCAGTAATATTAAACAGCACTCCATGTGGACACGCAGTACAAGGTACCATGGCCAACCCCTCCCACCTAAATCCACACACCAAACAATACAAAACAAAATATAACAGACGGACCCAGATGAATTCCAGACAGAACAAAACGGAGTAGAGCAGAGCAGAAGTGCAGTCAGTTACTTGAGGTTCGTTACGCTTCAATTAAGATCATTAGAAACCCCTGGACGTGCAATCAATCCTGCTGGACATTGAACAAAAGTTACTCATAAAAACTTGTTTAAAACAAACTTTAAACTACCCATACCTACCAAGAAAACAGTACAATGCTGCAATACACATGGTCGCTCACCACGCAGGATTACAGCTACTTGCAGGCCCATATCTAAAAACAAACAAAAGGTAATAAGCCTCTATTTAACATGCAAAAAGGCATTTTTAAAAACGGGACAAACCTGAAAACTGGCCAACAGCCAGCACACGACAGACAGAAGGATAACCCAACTGTTAGCACTCATTCAAAGCGCCACATGTCACAAAGGGGCGGTATCAAGGATCATGCATCCCAAGCAACCAAACACTTCCCCCTTTTATATGCACAACAGGCACTAATTGGCTAATGAAACTTACCCAACTGACCAATCACGATAAAGTACAAACCGTGATAGGTTCACCTGTTTGGGTAACGCCAGCAAATCATACTGGGTCTATAGCTCACTCTGCTACATAAGTATCTGTGTTTTCGTTTTGACATGTGTTCATTATTTGATTATATTATTTGTTATCATGTTTAGGAACCATGACATTTTAGTGAAGGGAGCAGTTCATAGTTGATAGTGACTAGGCCCACGGTTCAGCACGCATGTGTTCAGAGGATTAATTGCAAAATTTAATAGAGTAAAAGTTTTATCATTTGTACGTGTTTACAAACTCAATCGATTTTAAAACAGCGCAAGAAGAGGCGAAAGAGCAAACAAGAGAACAAACACAGCTTTGACAAAGATTAATCCATATTAATTTATACAGTGAACACACTCAGAAGAATTGGAGAAACTGAGGAGGAGTTTCAACATCTGGAAAAGCGGTTGGAAATTGAAAAGATCCGGGCAACAATGGTAAAAAAAAAAAAAAAACTCGCCAAAACAACATTTCCTCACTAAAGCTCGCATCTTTGACAAAGTCCATCATTTATTTTAATTATTATATTGAATTTATGACTGAACAATGGCTTGTTAGATACAGAGAGAGCATGAGCTAATTGAATAGAATAGCTTTGTCATTGTACAAGTAAAATAAGATTTATTTTGAAACTTCCAAATTGATAGTAAAGCTTAAGAACACAAATGATTTAAAATGGCAATATAAAATTATCAATTATAAAAAGTTTGCAGCAGTATTAAAATAGTGCAAATAGCTCAGATGTGCAATGCAGCATTAAAACCTAAACAGTACAAACAGAAAACATAATGTAATAAAACGGTAGGGGGTGAATTTATTATTCCATGTACATTTGAGGTTAATGTGTGTACTGGGCTACTTTT